GTGAACTAAATCTGTTTCTAGGGAACAGAAGGAGGCAGAGGTGAGTCACTTCAAGACTAAGTTACAAAAACCCCTATGGCTTCTGTCTTGGACACTCCACGCACAAACGCTACCAAGGAATTCAGGCCACCAGCCCAATGCTTTCAGGAACTGAAGGTCTCAGCCCAACAGCCGGCAAAGAACTAAATCCAATAACCATTAAGTCTGAGTTCAGAAGTAAATCTCCCAGACATGCCTTCTGATGAGAATACAGCCCTGGCCAACAGTTTGACCACAGCCTCAGTGAGACTTTTCTTTTTTTAATATGTATTTATTTGGCTTTGTCAGCCTCAGCTGTGGCACACAGGACCTGCTGCATCACGCGGGGCCTCTCTTGCAGGGCACCGACTCTTTCGCTGTGGCACAGGCTTAGCTGCTCCACAGCACATGGGATCTTCCCAGACCAGGGATTGAACCTGTGTTCCCTGCACTGTAAGACAGATCCTTAACCATTGGACCACCAGAGAAGTCCCCTCACGTGAGGCTTGGAGTCTAACTAAACCATGCCTGGATTCCTGACCTACAGAAATGGTGAGATACTAAAGTTTGTTTCTTTAAGTTATGAAGTTTTGGGGCATGCAGTTCTGTTCCACAGCAATAGATAATACAAGAGCTAAGTCATATTTAAATTAAAAAAAATATTTAAAGCAAATTTATCCACTTAGAATACATCCTTTTAGAATACAAAGAGAGTATTTGACTAAAACTAGATGAAGCAGGGGCTTAACTTTCTTATGCAACGTGAAGTCCAGAGGTGAGGCTGTCCAAGGCCTGCGGAGTGTGCCAAAACGCCACCAGGGACCCGAGCCCTGTTAGCTCAGGCCCGGCCATTCTTAGGGACATCGGCACAGTTCGATCTCAGGTCCATATCATGGAAAAGAGGAAAGGGTTTTGCCTTGATCATGAAAGTGAACATTTTCCTAGAAACCGCAAAGCTACTCTTCACTTACATCTCATTCATCAAATCTGTTTCCCATTGCCATTCATAGATGCAAGGGACTCTGGGAAGATTAATGTCTTCTGCTCCTTCAACATAGTAATGTTTTGTGAGCAATGAAAAAGGGGAAAATGTTTATTGGACAATCAGAAATATTTGCCAAAGCTGTACATTTTATTTATGGTAAGACCAAAAACACTACAGGGGTTTAGAGAAGGGCAAGAACACAGTGCGCTAAGGGAGCCTGAGGAAGTTTCTGAGAAAGGACATTCAGAACTAAGTAGAAAGGAAAGACAAGGGAACTTTCATAGGGGATGAGAAGAACAAAAAACCATGAAGACAGGGAAATGTAACAAGGCCTAAAAAGAAATCACCTTATATATAGTTTTTAATTGCACAAGTTAAAAAAACTGCTGAGTGATGAATATGCATGTTATTTCCTAGCAAGGAAAAAAATGCAGCATAAACAACAAGGTCCTACTGTGTAATAAACTGTAAGGGAAAAGAATCTGAAAAAGAATACACACACACACATACACATAAACCCGAGGTTATCGTCTGAGGTCAGCAATGCAAAGCTGGGTGCAGAGTATGAAGCAGCAGTGCCCTCACCAGAAAGGCTTCACGGTGCGTCCTAGTAGGAGTTTGGCCGTGCACCTTCCCTCAGGTCCTGCCTACTCTTAGAACTGCGTCTATCCTTCCCAGTGATTCTGCAAGTCCATCTTACATCTTTTAATAAATTTCTTTTCTGCTCATGTCAACCAGAGGTAGCTTGTGTTGCTTGTAATTAAGAACACTGACAGAAAGAAGGTTCACCATAATGTTGAACACAGGAGCATCATTTTAAAAAGTGGTGTTTCAGGAGGATTTTCCTGTGAATAAACACAGTCTCACGCAACCTCCAGAGAGAAATTAATTTACTATTGTTAATTAACTTTTCCTGTTACTGTTACCTTCCAGAAATCAGGACTCTTTCTCCCTTGCCAAAAAAGTCCACAGGACTTCCCCTAAAATTGCATCCCTTGCCTATATAGTATAGTCCCCTTTTATCTGTGGTTTCAGCTACCTGTGGTCAAGTACAGTGTGGAAATACCAGATGGAAAATTCCGTAAGTTTTAAACCGTGTGCTATCCTGAGCGGTGACAAGCCTTGCCCTGCCCTGCTCCGCGCCGCGCCGCCCCGCCCGGACACAGTCACTCCGGCAGCACATCCTGCCTGTCAGTCACTTAGCACTCACGCTGCCTACGGGGTTACTGTCAAGGGACCACAGTCCTGTGCTCACCTGACCATCATTCTACTTGGCCATGGCTCCAAAGCACGAAGCATGCAACTCAGATATGCTAAAGAGATGCTGCAAAGAGCTTCCTTTAAGTGAAAAGGTGAAAGTTCTTAATAAGGAGAGAAAAAAATCGTACGCTGAGGTTGCAAAGACAGAGAAATGACTCTTCTCTCCATGAAACTGTGAAGAAGGAAAAAGAAATTTGGGTGAGTTCTGCTGTTGCACCTCAAACTGCACAAGTTACAGCCACAGGGCATGACAAGTGCTTCAATGAGATGGAAAGGGCAATATAAAATTAACACACAGAAATCTCTTGCATTCCTATACACTAACAATGAGAAAACAGAAAGAGAAATTAAGGAAACAATACCATTCACCATTGCAACAAAAAGAATAAAATACTTAGGAGTATATCTACCTAAAGAAACAAAAGACCTATACATAGAAAACTATAAAACACTGATGAAAGAAATCAAAGAGGACACAA